TGCACGTCAGCCGGATGTGACGTGCTGACGCCGGATGTGATGTGCTGATGGCCCCGCCCCCAGCTTGCCCGGTGTCAGCACGTCACATCCGGCTGACGTGCACGCCGGGGTGGGGTTTCCCCCGGGGCCCGATTCAGTGGCGGTGGAAATCGGGCCTCCAAAGCGGGGGGAAATCCGCCCCCCGGGGGGACTTGGCAGCCCTATCACACGCAAGAGGTCGTTCTGGCTCCCCCAGCTCTCGTTAGGGGCTCTTTAAATAGTTATGACCACTGTCGGTGGCAGCTGCAACGTCCGCCGGGGGGAGGGGCGAAACGTTCCCCCGCCTCCCTGAGCTTCGGGGTGGTGACCTTGGACTTGTAGGGGCAAATTCCACCTCTCGCATGTGACATCACACACGAGAGGTCATTCTGGCTCCCCCAGCTCTTGTTAGGGGCTCTTTTAAAAGTTATGGCCGCCGCCTCTGTCAGTGACAGCTGCAATGGCCGCCGGGGGAGTGGTGAAACGTTCCCCCGCCTCCCTGAGCCTCGGGGTGGTGGCCTTGGGACGCGTAGGGGCAAATTCCACCGCTCGCGTGTGACATCACACGCGAGAGGTCGTTCTTGCTCCCCCAGCTCTTGTTAGGGGCTCTTTAAATAGTTATGACCGCTGCCGCTGTTGGTGGCAGCTGCAACGGCCGTGGGGGGGAGGGGCGAAACGTTCCTACACTCTGTGTTTACTAGACTCTGTGGTATCCTCTCCAGAGCTGCCATTTGCTGCAAGGGAACTGAACTCTGTAGAGTCTGGAAATCCCCTGTAATTCCGGGAAGAGGATTCCAGGCCTCACCTGGAGGTTGGTAACCCTCTTGGTTGTGAGAGTTCCACCAAGTCGCATCTGACTAATGGTGATTGACTCTTAAGTCAATAAAGCATTGCTTTAGCTTAAGCACAGTTCCATTAAAACATAGCATTACATGGGATTGGCAAATAGGCCGATCAGAGAAGCCTTTGACTTCTGCGGGAACCACTCTCATTGGTGCCTCCAAGCTCCGTATTCAGATTGATTTTGTTGGGTGTGGTCATGTCCAAATCGAGCTGCCTCGATCTCAGTTCATAATGGCGATCCCATAGGGGTTTTCAAGGCAAGAGACGTTCAGAGGTGGTTTGCCATTGCCTGCCTCTGCACAGCGACCCTGGACTTCCTTGGTGGTCTCTCATCCAGATAACTAACCAGGGCTGACCCTGCTTAGCTTCCACGTTCTGACAAAATCAGGCTAGCCTGGGCTATTCAGGTCAGGGGAACCCTATCAATAACGTAACAGAAACAAGTAGCTGGGCTTACGCAGAAGCCATAAATTTATCTTGGTCTAGTGGCCATTTTGGTGTAGTGGTTAAGCGTGCGGACTCTAATCTGGGAGAACCGAGTATGATTCCCCACTCCTCCACTTGCAGCTGCTGGATGACCTTGGGCAAGCCATCGTTCTGACAAGAGCTACCCTTGAACGGACAGTTTCTGTCAGAGCTCACTCAGCCGTCCACCTACCTCACAGGCAATGTTCCCACTAAGCTGTGGAGCCTTGTGAGCAGAAATTCTACCTTGTGAGCTACTGGCATTAAAGTTGTGAGTGAGCAATTTGGCTACTGGATAAATTAGTTTGCTCTGGAGCCATCCTTCCTGTGCTGAGACAAAAATGTGTGAGCCGGAGGATAAAAAAATGTGAGCTAGCTCACACTAACTCAGCTTAGAGGGAACACTGCTCACAGGGTGTCTGTTATGGGGAGGGGAAGGGAAAGGAGATTGTAAGCCGTTCTTAGACTCTGAGTGAAGGGTGGGGTATAAATCCAATCTCTTCTCTCTTTTTACCCACTGGTGCATTTCACTGAGCCTCAAGTTGTTGTACAGTAACTGGCCCTTTTACCGCTTGGCAGCAACAGAAAAGGAAACAGCTGCAAGAAGGGGGAAGTAAGGGGTATACCACCCCCAGTCTTTAAAACCGCTTCTCTTCAGTACAAAAACTTTACTCTCTTCAAGTGATTTCACATCCCTTTTTTCAAAAAGTAACACAAGACTGCATTCATTTAATTAAAATGACTTTTATTTAAGACAAAGAACCACCTAATTTCCTCTATTTTCCTGTTGTTCTTCAAGAAACTAAAGCAGTTATTTTTAAAAAAACGCCAAACCTTTCAACTTTGTTTTTCTTACATCGTCTACCTTCAAAACAGCACAAAACACATTATGCATTAAATAAAAGTGAACCCCAACAAGGAAAGCAAAACAAAACACATCATGATGAAAAACCCTGCGTTGCATCTTCAGAATGATACCCTTTTCAAGTGGCCGTTCAAACTCTGTTGGGTCTTTTAAGTTGAATATCTATAAGTAAAGTTGCCAACAGGCCTGGAGGGAAAGTATCCTGTACTTTGATTGGCATCTGAATGTGTGACAACGGGGCAATTGAAGCTTTTCATGGAGGTAAAGAGTGTCACCTGTTAAGTAACATCCCAGTAAGATAGTTCCAGAGGGTATCTGTGTTGGATAGAAGGATTCAATTCGAGTCCAGTAGCTCCTTAGAGACTGATGAGAGTTTCAGGGTATGACTTGGATAGCCCAGGCAAGCCCGATCTCATCAGATCTTGGAAGCTAAACATGGCTGACCCTGGCAAGTACTTGGAAGGGAGACTTCCAAGGAATACCAGGACTGGGATGCAGAGGCAGGCAAATATCAAGCCACCTCTCTGAAACATTCTACCCCCACCAGGGGTCATGAGAAGTCACCATGACTTCCAGGCACGCAAGCACACGCACACCAAATACTCACAAAGTTTCAGGGTATAACCTTATATAACCCTGAAACTCCAGATGGTCTTTAAGGTGCTACTGGGTTCAAGTCTATTTATTCAGCATCCCATTAAGCCTCTGTTAAAGGGAAAGGACCTCTTTTTCCCTCCAGGCAGCTGGCAACCTCAGGAATGACCATGGTTTCTCAGCACACCAGTGCAGAATAGCATCAGTCGTTTTTGAATGCAATGAACACTGTATAGTTCCCAGCAGACAGAATCCAGCGTGCACAAATACGCACTGAGGTGGGTACCGGAATGCCCCCCAGTAGACTCAGTCTAGCCAGACGCTTCCATTTTTCATGTACACTCCGGCAGTTTGAGATACAAACGTCTCCCTGAGTGCAAATATTAACAAGGCAGCTAGCTATGCTCAGGGAACTCAGGTTCCCAGGGCCCCAATTCAGAGATCCTCAGTACCACCGCATTAAAGAGCACTGTTGGCAGGTAGGCGGAACCCTATGATCTATCCATGCTGATGAACACCCACTTAACGGCTCAGCCGCCCATGCAGCTCATAGCAGTGCTGCATTAAAAGCGACGAGGCATAGCTTCAGGACTTGCAAAAAGAAAGTACTTCAAACCATGTGAAATCAATCTGTGGAACTCCCTACCACAAGATACAGTGAAATTTTAGATGGCTTTAAAAAGGAAGTTTTTAAAAAATCATAGGGGACAGGTCCATAAAAGGCTGCTAGAATGGCGGCTAAATAGAACTTCATTGTTCAGAGGTAGCATCGAGCAAGCATACTCTGCTTGGGCGCTTCCCTGGAGCATTTGGCCAGCCCCTGTGGGAGCTGGGAGGCATT